CCCCCAGCCCCGGCTGCCCCTGCTGCCACCCCGCACGGTTAGTCCTGGATTAGGCAGCGACGAGGACAGAAAGTGAGCGGGTTAATGTGGCTTTTGTGTTTCCCAGACACCAAAGATTTAAAGCTGCTGAAAAAGAGAAGTTAGGGATTAGTGAGAGGCAGGATGCGGCGGGGCTGCAGCGGGGCGCTGAGCCTGCCCTGGGGTCAGACCCTCCCCACCGGCTCCTGAGGAAGAGGAGGGACGTGGTGAGGCCAAGGGGAAGGGGCAGAGGAAGAAACAAGGGGAGAGACCCAGAGAGAGGGCAGGAGCTCTGGCACCACCATTCCCAGCCCCTGTCGAGGGTCCCAGGGACTGCCACACCAGTGTAGGGGGCTCCTGGTGGCCCCACTGTCCCCCTGCCACCTGCGGCATCCTCTCCATGGCCCTGTTTCCTCTGCCTGGGATGTGGGTGCTGCCTCCTCATCTCCCACTCACTGCTGGGTCCCAGTAAGCACCAAACATGTTCCTTGGCCCTTTCGGCTCTGGGGGTGGCTTGTGGGGTGGTTTCTCCCTTCGTTTCCTCCTTTCTCCCTAATTCCCTGAGCCCCTCTCACCCATGGCACTCAGCAAGACAGGCACCCTCGAGAGTGCCCACATTGCAGGGGACACAGCAGCACCTGCAGGATGCCAGGCCCAGAAATCTGCCCCGCTCAGGGTGCTTCACAGCCCCAGAGGCAGCAGCAGGGGACAAAAGGTGGCAGGAAGCTGCTGGCCCCAGGCAGCCCCTTGGTCCCTTCTCCCGGTCCTGCCTGATGCAGGGGGCACCGGGCGCACGGTGTTAGTGGCACTGACAGAGACACAGACACGGCTTAGCACCGAAGTGCGGCGAGTTCGAGGAGACAGTGAGGAAGAGGAGGAAGAGGAGTGGGGGGAGGTTACCCTGCTAACCAGGCCCGCGGCGATGCTCTCCGAGAGGAACCTTGGGATGAAATGGAGAAGGAGACGTTGGCATCATTGAGGGAGGAGGCAGGACCGCGCGGTGCCAGCCCACCCGGGCCGGCAGGGAGGGCAGGTGGGCACTGAGGGCAGCAGGGGAAGGAAAGGAAGGGTGTCCAGGGGCTCCTCCTCAATGCGGGGCTGGCCCATATGCAGACAAGAAGGGCTGTGACTTGTCCCCCTCCCTGAACTATCCTCTGCCTTTACCTGAGCCTAAACTAGAAATGCTCTTTCCTTTCTGTGACTGAAAAAGAGAAAATAGCCTTAATCTTCGTGACGTGCAAGCTCTAGGAGCTGAGACTATGCAGAAACAACCAAGCCTTGGAGAAGGGAAGAGCTCCCTTAGCAAAGGTGGGATCAGAGTCTCCAGCCCCCGGCTGTTGCGGGAGTTGGGGACGGTCCCCTCAGGAGCCAAGGGCTGTCCCCTGAGCAGGGCCCCTGGTGCGGCTGCCCCATGTCCCCCAGCCTGGCTGAGCGGTGCCGCCGCGCTCCTTATCTCAATCCTGCAGGTCTAGCCCTGCCCCAAAAGACACCGCAACGGCCAGCGGCCCCGAGAAACCTTGGTGCAGCGAGGAGCTTTCCTGGCCCACATCCTTTACAGGCCATCTATTAGAGGAAGCCTGCAGAGAGCTTTAAAATAATATATGAGCAGTGGTTTCTCCTATCTCCCCTCCTTAAAACTTCAGTCCAGACAAGAAAAACAGAAAATCCTCCCCTACTGAGTTGATTTCTAAAAATCCAGCTACCTTCACATTACAGTCCCAGATCTCTCATCTGATAAGAGCTCATGACAAATAGGTCAGAAAAGAAGTAATCTCAGCTCCACACCAGTAATCTCACCAGCGCTGAATGCTAATGAGATACTATATATGCATACAGTGTTTTGTCTGGCACTAAATGTTGCTCGCCTTAGAGCCCAGGACTCTGAATCAATAGGACCTCAAGGAGGCGAAAACTGCATTTGGAGGGCAGGAGAGAAGCGTATTTGAGGCAGTACCATTTTGCTGGAATGTACATACACAATTTCAAACGAATTTATATTTTCTGTTTCTAAATGTGAAGACATCACAAGTTTGTAATATTGAAGATGGTCTGTCTGGTTAGCTGTCTAGCCTGATGCACCCATCCATTCATGCTCAGGCTCTGTCTGTCTGTCCTCAGAGTTGCTCATCCGTCCACCAGTCCATCCATCCATCCATCCATCTATCCACCCAGTGCAATGCCCTGGGCTCCCTGGCAGCAGAGCTCAGCTCCAGGGCTGGGATCATGGTAGGGGTGAGGAATTTGGCATGTGCCAAGATCTACCTTGTAATCCTCCTGGGTTCCATGAAACTGGGAGAGTCACGTCTCCTCTTCCTGATGGGAGAATAGCTTCTGGAGCGACGCCTGGCCCGGGCAGGATCAGGGTCACTGTGGCGTGTTCGGGGCTCATTGTCCTTCTCTCTAAACCAAAAATTAAAACACGTGTTAGTGACCATGGGGGAGCAAACAGCCATGCTTGGTTGGAGAGCAGCATGGGGTTGGGTGAGGAGACCTGAAGCACTTGTGATGCTTGTGGAGCACAAGGCACCTCACACTATCCCTGGGGACTGACCTGCTCGCAGTTTTTTTCTGCGATGGAGACCGGGTCCTGCTCCGTGCTGCTCGCTTCTCCCGGGAACGGGAGCGGGACTTGGACAGGGAGCCGCTGGAGCTCCAGGAGCTGCTCCTGTGCCCCGTGCTGTGGGACAGGCTCTTCTTCCGCTCAGACGTGTGCCGGGAGTGCTTGGCCGATGACTCCGAGCTGCTGTTTGGCCTGCCCCGATGGTGTCTCTCTTTCACCCTGCAAGGGACAGAGAAAAGGTAGTCCCTAGGTCATCCCCATGGCTGTAGTCTGCTCTGAAGCACCTTTCCCTCCACAGCTTTTGCTGTGTTCCTGAAGGAGCCGAGAAACACAGCAAAGCTCCTGGGTAGAGTGAGCATCAGAAGTGGTCCTACGGGGCTGTGATTTTCAGGTGAGCTGCATTTACCCCTACCCTCCCGGTTCCCCCAGCTTAGTCCCATCACCACCACACAGTGCAGGGCCAGAGCTTATGCCCCGGGGGGAAATGGGATGCTGAGGAACGAAAGCATCCAGGATCGGGCCACCCGAGGATCCCCAGGGGGGTGAACTGCACCTCTTTGCCCGCGAGCCCCCTCTTACTTCTTGGCGTGAGCGCCGTGGTTCTTCTCAGCGCCGGGCGGCGGGTGGTAGGGGTGCGAGCACGCCGAGCCCTCCGAGTCGCTGCTGTAGCCCGTGGGGCTGAGCGGCGGCGGCGACGCCTCGCGGGGGGCTGCGGTCCTGGCCTTGCTCTGGCCCCGGTGGCGGGGCGGCGAGG